GGGTTTAGTGGTTTAGCGGTTTAGGGTTCAGGGTTTGGGGGTCTAGGGTTTAGGCTTTAGGGGCTAGGGTTGAGGGTTCAGGGCTGTACGATCTCCGGGGATGGAGGATTTAGGGTTTAGGGTTTAGGGTTTAGGGTTTAGGGTTTGGGGTTCTTCGGGTGTGGTCTTCAGTGGCGGTGGCTCGGGCCCTTTGGGCTGCCTGGGCTCACACCTCGGGCCCCGGTAATCCCCGTGATGCTAAACATCCCAGGCCGAATTCGACCCTAGTGTTGGAGTGGGGGAACATGTGAGGGTTTATAGGGCTTAAGGCTGCCCTAAAGGTTTTAATGGCTGCATTAGGGTTTAGGGTTTAGGGTTTTGGTTTTAGGATTTAGGGTTAGTAATGGCTGCAATTATGGGCTATGCTCTTTGCGGCATGGTCAACCAACCCTGAACACCTGCACGCTAAATGGCTGGCATTCTCAACCTGCTGTTCCTGCTACAACTGTCATGTCGGTAGATGCCGTTACCGGTAGCACTATGACGAGTCGTAGCCTTGCGAATCAAAGCTCATCCCCAAAGATCTACCCTTGCCCCTAAACCCAAAGCCCTACAACCCTAAAGTCCTAGAGCCTAAACTCTAAAACCCGAAAGCCCCAAACCCTAAACTAGAGCCTAAACTCTAAAACCCGAAAGCCCCAAACCGTAAAACCCTAAACCATAAACCCTAAAGCCCTGCAACCCTAAAGCCTAAACTCTAAAACCCGAAAACCCCAAACCGTAAAACCCTAAACTTGCTTCGAATCTTCAAGCTGGGAGCCTAAACTCTAAAACCCGAAAGCCCTAAACCCTAAAACCCTAAACTTGCTTCGAATCTTCAAGCAGGGAGCCTAGGATCAGAGGCTCTCCTCGGAGAACCTGCGCCGGGCGGGGTTTTGAGTGTGGGCGTGGCACGTAATGTAGAGGCCTTAATAATAATCATCATCATAAAAATAATAACAATATAATAATAATAACAACAACAATAATAATAATAATTAAAATAGGGTTTTGGCGGGTTCCTTAATCAATATACTTGCATTATGATGTACCCCCAAACCCTATTCTAATTATCAAGGCCCCTATATTACTGGGAATCGGCCAGATTCGAGGCACGAGGGGCAAGCTAGGAGGGGGCGCCCTGAAACCAAAACAGCCCCCGTAACCCATGGAACCCGTGTAGAACCCTTCCAAAGCCCTACAGAACCCTGAACCCAAGGCCCTGACCAGAACTTTTGTGCATCAAACCCTGGAACCTGAAAGATTAAAGCAGCATTCCGTAATTAAGGTTCCTTTGTGCGACTACAGGATCAGATATAAACGCTAAAATCTTGTGATTTAAGGCCGCTATACTACAAACCCTAAACCCTAAACCCCAAACCCTAAGCCCTAAAACCCTAAACCCCTCAGCCTCTAAACCCTAAACCCCAAACCCGAAACCCTAAAACCCTCAACCTTAAGACTTAGCATCCGGCGGGTCCTGAAAAATGCCAAGCAGTGACATCAGCCAACAGCAGCCGGCAGCCAACCGCAGCACAGTCTCCTTCGGAAGGGACCGATAATCCAAAAAGGGTGTACCTAAACCCCAAACAGTAGGAACCCTAAACCCTAAACCCTAAACCGTAGAATAATGGCCCAACACCATAAAAGTCTATTACTTTGCATACTTTGAAGGTCCAGGTATGCGGTTCAGAACGATGGTTTCGGCGCAAGGGGTTTTAGGGTTGAGGCTTCCGGTTTTTGGGGTCTTGCGATTCTCCGGAGAATGCACCAAGATGCTGGGCCTGACCATGAATCCTAGAAACCCGAACCCCTGCAAACACCTGTAAACCCTAAACTATAAATATATATATAGAGAGAGAGAGAGAGCGAGAGAGAGAGAGACCCTAAACCGAAAAAACCCTGAACCCTCCTCCTAAACTCTAAACCCTAAACCCGAAACCCTAATCCCTACACCCTAAACCCTAAACCCTAAACCCTAAGCCCTAAACCATAGACCCGAACCCCTGCTCTCCTTCGGAATGGCCGCAGGAGCCTGGATCGTTCCCAGGACGCTGAGGTTTTCTACCCATAGGCCCCATAGTGGTTCCTTTTTCTGGCTTATATTTAGGATCCTATTCGGGAATCCCAAACAGGAACTATTATGGGGCCTATGGATATTTGGGAATCGCCTACTACTACAAGGGTTACACCCCGAAACGTGGGGATTTCGCTACACTTGGACTTGGTATTCCCTGCCATCCACCTGTTCTGCATGTCCACCAAGCATAGACATTGCGACCGAAAGAGAAGGGACTTGGCGCCGACACTTTGAAGTGCAGGGCTGGCATAAGGTTTAGTTGTCAGAAAACAACATGCATGTTACGGGCCCATATATTCCGTGGCACTCTCTTAGTTTTTAGGGATAAGGGTTTAAGGGCCAAGGGTTTGAGGCTTAAGGTTCCCTGGACCCTAAAGAAGAGCTTGCTTCCGGCCTGAGGTTCCAAGCTTGTGGCTGTTGCTTGCGCGCGCGTTTAACGTATCAGTGTTGGCACAAGGCAGCTGAACCTCACGCACAGCAGGGCTACATAAACCTAAATGCTTGGGGTTCAAGGATCGTGGAACTAAAACCTCAAGAGAACCCTTATGAAACCTCAAAGCAAACTGCGAACTCGCGGGTCTACGTTCAGCATTCAGGTTTAGGGTTTGGCGTGTACAATATAAGGTTGGGGTTTAGAGACACCCTCCACTTCGACTTTAGATATTCCTAACACCCGGCTACTGCAGGCCTGCGGAACCATCGATAACATCCACTCCAGCATCAAGAGAACTTCGGTGATGTGCAGAGGCAGAAAATGGGCTAGCTTCACCACTGCACCTTGGATTAGAGGCTTGGTGGATGATGGGTCCTGAAAGTAAGTTTAGGGTTTAGGGTCTAGGGTTTAGGGTTTCTATAGAGCTTCGGGCGTAGAAGGATCACGGTCTAGGTTTGAGGCGTTTCCTGTACACACCCTGAATCTCAGAGCTTCGATGTCACAAAAGGTGGCGGGATCGAGCGCACGGCCGGTGAAACATTTTGGCTTTGGCATAGTGCTGTGGTGTGACTACATCATCTTCGCCACCACCACCACCACCACCACCACCATCACAACCACCACCACCACCACCACCACCACCACCACCACCACCACCACCACCACCATTACAACTGCGACGACGATGACGGCGACAACTGCTGTGACGGCTGCGTACAACTCCCAGTGCTATGTCTGAGGTGTTTCCACAAGTGACGTGAAGGACGGAATCTGGGTTGGCTGTGAAACCCTCCGGGTCTTTTAGGGTTTCATGGTTCAAGGTTTTAGGGTTTCCAGGTTTCCAGGGCTGAAATGTGAAGCACACCAAGCCAATCCAGGAATACAGCCCAGGACTTCGTGTCAGACAGTGACGGGCGGCTGTTTGGGCACGTGCAGTTCCACACGGAGTTCTGACAGCACATGTGCAAGGGCCGAAGCTGCAGACACGCTCGCTACTTTGGCAGCATCGTTCACCATCTTCAGCGTTACGCCTCCTCAAACTATCTTCATAGGGGGTATGGAAAAATAATGTAGACCCCTCATTCATGACCAACCTCCCACTTATAGGGAAAAAGGGACGGATCTTAGTCCCCCACCGGCTGGGCAGCCGGCCGCAAACCCAGGTAATCCCAGTGCCACCCTCTTTCTACCCTACAGATCCAAAAATCCAAGACTGCGAAAGCTTCAGCTCAAAAGCCTCAGACCCTAACCCTAAACTCCAAAATTTAGCCCCTAAACCCGAAGGCCCAAAACCCTAAACCCAATAACCCCTAAGGCCCGAAACCTCAAGCCCTGAAATGCCGAGGCACGGCCCCGAACCTCGTAGCAGGGGCTCCCAGACACCCCGCCGGTCGCCCAGTGGCACAGGGCATCTTCGTTGGGCAGGGACTCCTTAAAAAAGTGTCCCTGCATGACCTGTCAGGGGGTTATAGTGCTGTAGGGTTCTTTTCTCGTGGCGCGGTGGTTCTATGAGACTTCCACAAAGGGTTGTTTTTTCGGTTTAGGACTTGAGGATTTGAGGTTTACTGTAGGGTCTAGCATTTCCAGCAGGGGATTTTGGAGGGAAGGGCTAGGCTGCATGAACAGCACCTTCATCTCCAGCAGTTGTCCAAGGAGATTCGTGATGCCAGCTATGGAGGTTAGAGTTTAGGGTTTAGGGTTTAGGGTTTAGGGTTTAGGGTTTAGGGCTTTGGGTTTGGGGGTTATGGAGGTTTGGGGTTTAACGTGTTGGGCTCAGAGTTTGAGATTGTTTTCCTAGGAATGTCATAACTGATTTCGGTTCTTGGACTCTGGAAAACAAGTCAGCACTAATACTGGGCCAATCGGCACACCAATGATACATGCATGATGAGAACACAGGAGTCGCAAGGTATACACCTGATTTAGACAGGAGTAAGGAAATTTTTACAGGCAAAAAGTGACCTCAAGAAAGCTGCAAAAATCTGAACCCTAAAGCCCTAAACCCCTACCCCTGCACGCTGCCACTCAAGAGCTGCTGAACCTGATTCGCGACATGTTTCGCTCCCTCCTGCCCAAAGCCCTAACTCATAAGGATCCTTAAGTGGGTAGGGGGAGAGGGGCCTGAATACCTATAATAAGGGCCTAATAAGGCCTAGTTTAGGAAGTATCGTCTCCTACCCCCCTCCCCCTTACCCTCCTAAGATAAGGGTCCGTATGACTAACCGATAAACCAAACGGCAAAGAAATCATCTGCAAACCCCGCAGAGCCTAAACCCTACACCCTGAACCAAGCAACCCTAAACCCTTATAGTGGCCCTTATAGAACCCTTTAAGGAACCCTTAAAAGGAACCCCAAAACCCTGTTCTAATTATTAAGGCCCCTAAACTAAAGCCCCACAAAAGCGGACCCTAACCCTGCTTTCCTACTTACCTCAAACCCCCCGCCTGGACTGCAGCGACCATCACCGAGACGCACAACTGCGAGGAGCCGTGCTGAAGCGCCAACACCTGCACAGAAATATCGTGCAGTCTATGCAACGGTGCCATATGGGGGCTCTCTTTAAGGTCTGTCTCAGGTTTCCGTACTGAAGCAATATGGGTTTTGGGCTTCCATACCTCTTTGCTTTAGTTGGTGAGTGTATGCTTTGCTTGTCTTCTGTTGGAACAGACTCTGCTTACTTGCGGATGTAGGCCAGGGCTTCTGCTGGTCAAAGCTGTTGGATGCTTGACGAATCTGACGGTTCAGGGCCTAATTTGCCGATGGGCTCCCCGGCATACTTGTATCTGTTTATTCTCATATACCCACAGTCCGATTCGAACTGTTTAGGGCAAACCGTGGAAGCCTGAACTGCTACGTCCTGACGGACCACTCCAAAGCCTACCGACACCAACACCCTCAACCAGAAGCTCAAGTCCTTAATGCAGGGCCTTCAAGAATTAGAACAATGTATTGGGCCATATTCCGACATAGTTACTTAGACCAGGAGTTCCCTAAGAACCTGCACATTTCAAACTGAAAGGCAGAAAAAACCGCTTCTTTTTGTAGCATATGGACGGAGGTTCAAGGTACTTCGAAGCAGATTGGGACTCATCATCATATGAACTAACCTCGCTGGAGCCGCTCTCCCAGCAAGACCTGAGTCGAAAGCCAAGAACAAGCCTGGTCCAGGTTGTTTCAGGGTGACGACAGACTCCACCAGACCATGCACACAGACGTAAAACACACAGTGATATTTCCACTGCTTCAACAGGTATATGGATCTAAGCAAGACCGCACTATCCCTGCCTTCGTGGCGGTTGAATTGGGTCGAACATGCACGCCCAAGGTAGCCAAGAAGCAGACAGCTCCTGGCACAGGACAAGTAGCTTCTCAACTGTCCGCGCTATGAGGGTTTGGGCAAAGTGGTATGAGCCATGTGAAGTCTAGACTCTTCTCCGCCATTATTCTGCTTGCGCAGCCATGATTTAAGTTTTGCGTACTCGGCATGGGAAGTTCCCAGTGCTCACATTGGAAGTTCGAGAAAATACCCGAAGAACAACTACCCCATTCAAGTTGAACCTAGTGATACAGTAGTATGTTGTCTAGCATAGTAATATTGAGTAATAGAAACTAATAATTTCGTAATATGTAGTAGAATATAGTAGTATATTCTGGTTGGACTAGGGGGCACAGCGGTGTGTGTTGGAGTCCGGCCTAGAATGCCGACGCTGACGAGCTTCACCTGGACACGTCTATATTCATGCCTTCATAGGGGCAATTCTAAACTAGGGTTCCATTTCGGGTCCTTTTTATGAGGTTCCTAAAGGGACCCATAAGACCTCTAGTTAAACGCAACCTAACCCACGAAGCTGTACTACGTTGCCACATACCTGTACCTGGAAGCATGCATGCACACACGTCACAATCACAAGGGTAAGCATAGTTGGCTCGGTGTGCATGTGGCAGTATGAGAACTTCTTGGTTCCAGTCTTGTGCCCATTCGCTACTGCAACCAAGCTCAGTGCCTGCAGGATAGACAGGTAACACCGATCGCCGATCGCCAAGGCGGGCAAGGGTTAACAAACCTTTAGCCGGAAGCCCTCAACACTAAAACCCCCCCTATCAACGCCTAAACCATAAGCTCAAGACACCACGCGATTTCCGAAGCTGCCACGGAACCTTGGAAGTGCCAACCAAAGCCCAGCGCATTTAAAAAAAGCATTCCAGCCCTAATATAAAATACGTATATTTTGTTCAGGAAGCCCAAGGAAGTGTGTTGGTATGAAGACAGGTTCATGTAGGAACTGGGCTTTGTTTGGCAACCGGACCTCCTTCACTTTTAAGCACATGCCGCAAATGCTGGCGGTAGGAAGCTGACCATGTAGAGGGAAGCGTCCTCCGTGGTGGAGGTGTTGAAGTGAGAAGGCACCTTGGTGCAGGATCAGGGTAAAGGGAGGGCAAGGGTTGAGGTTTAGGGTTTAGGGTTCAGGGTTTAGGGTTTAGGGTTTAGGGTTTAGGGTTTAGGGTCAAGATTTCCACTTCAGGGATTCCGGGCTGATATAGGAGACCTAAACTCGGATCTCTTTAGAGTCCTTTGCAGTATCTAAGTAACCATAGGGAACGGTATGAGTTACAGGCTATTCTACTCTGGGGTTCGAAGCCCCGAAAATTCAAGCCTCAAACCCTAAAACCTAAACACTAAACCGCAAACCCTGAACCCAGAACGGCGTGAGCTCCAACGGCTTATCCCTCCACAGGAAGGGTTGAGCCAAGCCCGCAGAGCCTGGACACAAAACGCTGAAAAATCACAAGCCCTAAAACTACTACTCCCCCCGAAACCCCCAAACCCCTGAACCCCTAAACCCCTAAACCCTAAACCCATAAACCCAAACCCTATAACCCCTAACCCCTAAACCCTAAACCCCTAAAACCTATAACCCCTAACCCCTAACCCCTAAAGCCTATAAACCCCTACACCCTAAACCCTATAACCCCTAAACCCTAGAACCCCTAAACCCCTGTATAAACCCTAAGCCCTAAACCAAACATGCCTAGAACCCGAGCCCCCCAACCTTCGGGGTCAACCCGAAACCCGTAAAGGGCCTAGGGAACAGAAGTTGAGATCCGCATATTAGGATTTATAGGGTTTGGGGTTTATATGGTTTGTAGGGCTTATCGGGTCTGGGGTTTAGAGGGTTTATAGGGCTTATAGGGTTTATGGTTTATAGGGCTTATAGGGTTTATAGGGTTTAGGGACCGCTCTTGGACCCTACTTTAGGTGTACCCAAATCTCCAAACTCATGCGGGAACTTTTCTTGGGCTGGCGCCAAAGCGCGCAGACACGCGCGCACGGCCATAGCCGAAAACAAGCCCTGGGTTTAGGGTTCAGGGTTCAGGGTTTAGGGTTCAGGGTTCAGGGTTTAGGGTTTAGGGTTTAGGGTTTAGGGTTTTTCAGGGTTCAGGGTTTAGGGTTTTCCTAGACCCCTTTTACCCTAGACAATGGAACCGTGGCGCCGGAGCGCAGGGAGCCCCAAATACACCTGAGCTTCATGCAAACCTAATGCTCTAACTCCTGAAGCCCTGAGCTTGAAACTCCAAGCCAAAAGCATGCTACGCCCCAAACTCCCAAAGCCCTATGAACCCTAACCTAAACATCCCTCAAGAAGCTATAGAAACTACCTTGGGGACGAAATGACCCTTATAAGTAGGGTCCCTATACCCTTATACTATGAATCCCTATATGGTATCTGAACCTGAAACCCTTTTGAGGTTCATTTCGTCCTTAAGGAAGCGGCTGGCTAAGGTCCCTACCATCCCTAAACCCTAAACCCTAAACCCTAAACCCTAAACCCTAAACCCTAAACCCTAAACCCTAAACCCTAACCTAAAGATCCCTCAAGAAGCTATAGAAACTAAGGCACTCCGCGCCAAGCCTGTAGGGTGATAATGGCGACTTCGACCTCAGAGCTTTCCGCTGGTCTTAGGGTTTGGGGTTTAGGGTTTAGGGTTTAGGGTTTAGGGTTTAAGGTTTGGGGTTTAGGGTTTAGGGTTTAGGGTTTGGGGTTTAGGGTCGTAGGGTTTGGGGTTTAAGGTCTTACGGTTTGGGGTTTAGGGTCTTAGGGTTTGGGGTTTGGGGTTTAAGGTCCTAGGCTTTAGGGTCTTAGGGTTTAGGGTCATAGGGTTTAGGGTCAAAGGGTCTTAGGGTTTAGGGTCTTAGGATTTTGGGTTCAGGGTCGTAGGGCTTTCGCCACTTTCGCCTGGAGTGCGAATATGTAAACTTCGACATGGTGAGGCGTGAGGCAGCCGTACGGAGCTAAGTGCAAGGTTGTCGCAGTGATATATATATATATATATATACATACATATACATATATATATATATATGATATATGTATGTATGTGTGTATGTGTGTATGTCTGTATGTCTGTATGTCTGTATGTCTGTATGTATGTATGTATGTATGTATGTATGTATGTATGTATGTATGTATAGCAAATAGCACATTGGGTATAGGATTTGATGCTTTATGGGGGCAGGACCCAAGCATTTTAGGGTCGGTAGTCGTCTATCAAGAAGGATCTTACAACTGTAAGCCGTAACGATGAAAATGGTGGCAGATCCTCAAGTTGCCTGGTCTAAAGGCTTAGTGGGTTTCGTCCAGGGCTCTTTGACAGTTCTACACGGGCTGCATACGCACCCTAAGTGTGCTTTTTCCCCGATAAGAGGACCTTACAACTGCAAGCCATACTGTTGACGATTGCTGGCGGATCCTCAAATTGCTTGGAGTAGGGGACTATTGAGCTTTACATAACGGTTCTGCACAGAGTTTATAGGAACAGTAGGTGGGGTTCTCAATACTTCGTCTTTCCATTTATATGGGTCCTATACTTTTAACACTGCGGGACTCCGGGAAGATCAGGTGCAGCGGGGATTAGGCTCGTGCTCCTCAGAAGTTATGTGCGACTTGACCTGCGACTTGTCCAGAAGGCAACACCCCAGATCCAGACTCCGATGTGGGCCTCCAGCGGGTTTAGGGTTTAGGGCTTAGGGCCTCCGCTAAACCCTAAACCCCTAAACACAGGCACCCTAAACCCCGGAACCCTAAACCCTCCACATGGAGTTCAAGACTTGCCTGGAAGCCGCAACATCCCAAATTGCGAACCGCTGTCAGCCTACATCAATCCCACCTCCCCAAGACTGATTTACGGCTTAGGGTTTAGGGTTTAAGGCTTTTGGTTTAGGGTTTAGGGTTTAGGGTTTAGGGTTTAGGGTTTAGGGTTTAAGGCTTGCGTTACAGAGGGATCCTCCACCTGAGCTAGGGGTAATGTTCATCAAAACCCTGAACCTCAGATCCCACATCCTCACCCCAAAACCATGCTAATCCCTAGACCGTGGAACCCTAAACCCTAAACCCAAAGTCCTAAACCCTAAACCCTAAGCCCTAAGCCCAAAGCCCTAAGCCCTAAACCCTTAGCCCTGAAAGACGGCCGAGCCCTGCGCCAGGGTCGCCCAAGCAGCCGAGTGGGCCAAGAGCCAACGAGGCAACAGATCTCCAAGAGACGGTGATACAGGGATCGAAAGGGTCTAGGCTTTCGGCTTAGGGATTTCGGGTAGTTCTCTAAATTCGGGCCCCTTCAAGGGTCCTTTGGAAACGGCTGCAGCGCTATCCCAAGAACCAAAAGAAGACCTCGTTTAGAGAACTACCCAACATAGAGGTCTTAACAATCGAGTGTGGGGCTTTAAGGCTCAAGCTTTCGGCTTAGGGTGTAGGATAGGGGGTCTTAAAATTAGGTTTGGGATTTAGGCTTGAGGTCTAGGCTTTAACTTTAGGTTTAGGGCTTAGGGTAGGGGTCTTGCTGCTTGGAACGGGGTTCTGTAAGGCTTCCTCTAGGGGGATACTACAGTGACAGGTCTTTTGAGGGTTATCTAAAATATTTGTAGTTCCATCGTAGAGTTTGGAGAGAGTTTCTATTGTGGGGCCCTGAATGATTAACATGAGGTGTTCGAGTGTGCTATACCAGACACATACCAAAGAACCCAAAAGTTGGTATTTATTCAAGCTTCTGTTGCCCTAAACCCTAAACCGTGGTTCTGCCCTGGTTTGCGTTAAGGGCTTAGGGTTTCTAGGGCTCTGCATGTCCGACAAGGTTTTGAAGACTAGAAGGGTCCTCTGAGGGTTACTAAAACGGCCCTGCAGGGTCATGAGGTTTACGGGGTTTGGGGTTCAGGGTTGAAGGCTTAGGACTTCATAGCCCACCACCAGACTCGCATAGGTCTTGTTTTGTTTCACTTTGATTTCAGCAAGTTCTTCAACTGGCGACAAAAGTTCCCTCTAGACTTTAGCTGCAAGGTTTCCCTGGTACGCCGTCATCCATTTCGCGGCTTTGCAAGCTTGCCTGCCGCCTTCGTGTATTCGATGATACGAAGGATTGGGAGATAGAGTGGGAAGGTGGAGCCTTCGCACATCAGAAACTTGACATGCGGATCAGAGTCTGACAACACGTCGTACCACGATGGAATCAATGCGCAATCCATGTGAAACCTCCAGAGTCTGCTTCCCAAGTCTCACCCCAAACCAGCAACCAGTTGACTCTGGTTTTGGGTGATGGTGGTAGTGATAAGGATGTGGATAAACATGGTGATGATGATGATGATGATGATGATGGTGATGATGATGATGATGATTACGGCAGTGATGACGATGACGATGATGATAGCGAGATAATGACGATGGGGAGTAG